TGCCAGTGGCATTTTACAAGGGGTCAACGTGAGAATAAAGTTTTTGTGCAATGATTTTGTGGTTGTGCTGGGAATTAAATCTGTCCCTTCCACATCTAGGCCTAAGTCTGAGACACTACCATTTTGTTGTTGTTTTATGGCTAGCAACATGCCAATTGGGTTGTGGTATTCTTAAATATGATATCAGGGGCTCTTAATATGTATACTATTTAATATTGAAAGTTTTGAAATTTGCTACGGTAATCATTGAATTACATTACTGTAATTTACAAATTCCTAACGCTCAACTCAGATAAATTAATATTCAACTACCTTTCAAGCTTTGACTATTGATACAACTTCTTTTATTTATCCAATACCCAATAGTGCAGTAGAAATAATCGAAAATATAGCTTAAGGTGGAACTAATTGCAACAGAAATGATTTTTGCTGTGAATGGTAGGGAGTATGCATCTAATCAACATACTAAAAATATACATCCGTACTGTGGCGCAAAATACGCTTTTTGGCCGCCATCTTGAAAAAAGTGTAAACATTTTAATATTCGTAAAAATAACTTTTTAGGCATCAAATTATAGGAAGTTTAATGCAGAAAAAAGTTATAATAATGGTTATAAGCACTATTTAGAAAAACGATCGTAGTACAAAGTACCCCCGCCGCAGCAAGCCTGCAGACTAAACGAATTTCCATTTGTCTTAATTGATTTTCAATTAAATCTAGTAATTCAGTTTTAAAAATCTTTGTACAGCTATATCTAGAGTTCTAATGGACCGATTTTATTAACTAATGGGTCATTGGAAAGCAATACGTGTAGATTTTTAAATAATTATGAAAGTTTGATTTTTTTAAGATTTGCTAGGTGAAACCCGTCAACGTCGACAATTAGCTTAAGTACTGTTGATGTTGCAAGCGCAAGCTGCAAGTAAGATCTTTTTAACTATAAATCGATGATAGATAACTCCATTTTTGAACAATTTGGGTCGTTTATGATTTATCAGTGTGCTTTAGGTACGTCCGATCTCAATAATCAATAATTCCAATGGAATCTGGTATTTCACTGAAGATTTTTAAATAAAAACATATAGGATAATGTAACTACTGGAATACATTTTTAATTGAAGTAAAAATTGAAAAAATCCAATTTATTTGTTTTCGTAGGGTAATGCATTTGATAGATTAATGATGACAAATTTGTGCTTGCATAGCTTTGAGACCAAAATTATGAAAATCGGTCCGGTAGAAGAGCCAAACGAACTAGAAAAAAACTAATTTAACTCCCGTAAGTAATGTACAGGGAGGCAGTTTGTGCATAGCTCAAAATATAAGTAAAAATGAGTGCTGATGCTTAATAGCAAATCTATGGTGCGTCCATAGCTTTAGTTTAAAGCCGGATTTACACTATGTAGCAAAACCTGCTGTATAACTTTTGCTATATAACATTGCTTTATAACTTTTGCTGTATGAAAAATTTACAAACAATTTTAGTGATTCTGGTGCTCGTGCTATATGTTATATGTAGCATAACCTCATTCTCATTCCGTATAGAAATGTGCGCTGAAGAGACATTGTTCGTGGCAGCTATCGTGGTGATCTTGGAAGTCAGAGAGAGAGACAGACAGGAGTGAAGATTTTAGCAAGTTTTAGGTTTGACCGCTTCCTGCTTCGAGAAATAAGTACAGTGTAGCAAATTTATCACGGGACCTTAATGATAATGAATACGCGGATAATCCATAACTAAAACGCTAAATATTGCGACGGTAACTTCAAAAACGTATTACGTATGATCACAACGCCGGTTGTCCACGGAACAATTCAATTACGTTTATAATATCATCCCGATCCTAGGCACTGCCACTTTACGTTTCCAGTCCTTCCATTGTAAACAAAAATCGCTGAGCAAAACCGTTCGCACCCAGGAGGCTACAACTGTGAACTGTGTGCACTAAATGCTACATATAGCAGATGCTAGACGAAAAATATATGTATATCATTGCTACATATGGCAATGTTAGATGTAGCACGTATTTCTTTTGATATTTACCGACTCCCGATGGAAAGCACAATTTTAGCTATATATAGCAGGATCTGCTTCATAAAGCAGTGTTATATAGCACTTTTGTAAAGTTACTTTTTCAACTTCTAGCAAATGTTATGTAACATTGCTAGATGTTACACAAATCTGCGATGTAGCAGGTTTAGCTACAAAGTGTAAACCCGGCTTAAGGCCAAAATTATGAAAATCGGTCTGTTAGAAGAGCTAACCCGCTTCGAAAAAGAAAAAACAGTTATTTTTTTAGATGACAATAATTGATTTACTAGTATGCATAATCTAATCATACGAAAGATTAGTTAATAATTTAACAGCTTATTTTTATATTGTTATTTAATTTATTTTTCTTTGATTAAATATTGTTGTTAACAATTTGCATTTGTGTTTAAAATGTGTTTCTTATGTTAAGTGTGTGATTCTATTGTTATGAGCTTAATATGTACCAAATATTAGTGAGTAAAGTGGTGTATGGATTTCATAACCATTATTTTACTAGAGACCGTTGTATTAGTTTAACCACAATGGGCTCTGTTGCTAGTCTATTAAATAAATAACATTAGGTTTAACTAAACGAGTACCAAGGTTTGCTGCTACAAGGGAACTAATTAAGTGTGTTTTTAGTAAAATATTAATTGTTTAGTATAAAATAAATAAATCTGTAAAGTGTTATCAAAATATATCCATAAACAAGGAAACTACAACTTTTTACCATATTCTCCATAAGAATAACATGGGGATTTTAAATTTCAAATTTTTAGAATTTTCCCCGTTACCAATAGTCGTACTAAAACCCTTTGATATACTTAACTATTTGTTTTTTAAGCTCTTTAAAAAGGTTTAGAGAGAAATTGGGAAATTTTACGTTTTAAGGGTCAAAAATGAAAAAAATAAAAACTTAAAAGTATAAATAACTTATAAATAAAAAACTGTTCAAATGCCACGTTTTTAAACGCACCTTTTTTCGCCCAGAGTGCATCACTGTTAACAGTATACTTTAAATTCAATCATTATATTCTTTTCCGGCATGAAATGTTCTATAATTTGATACCAAACCAGATTTTTTTACAATAATTTAAAGAATTACACTTTTTATAAATGGCGGCCAGAAAACCGTATTTTGCGTAACAGTACAAATGTATATTTTTAGTATGTTTTTTATAAGTGTATTACCTACCATTTCTAACTGGAATAATTTATGTTGCAATTAGTTCCACCTCAAACCCTATTTCTACTGCACTACAAACCCAATTCAAGTTTTCAATCATCTAGGTTAAAATGAATGATAAATGCCGAAAAATTAAATAAGAAGAAGAATGCGACCGAACATCGAATGTCAGCATCGGACACTGCCGTTGCTGTAGCCCATATAGCTGAAAGCGTCCGTCGTCTGCCGATCTTCCCTACTTTTCATAACGTACAAAAAACAGTCAGACTCGAACGATGAGTTTTAGGTTAGAGTTTGTAATTAGTCCTTTCATTCGCCACAAGTGTAAAGACTACAATGAATTTCAATTTGGCAGAACGATTTGCAATAAAAATTATTAAAGTTCCCCTGGTATAATAGTTTATATATTTAAAAAATATTTTGGGGGGGGTCATGACCCCCCTGACCCCCCCCCTGGGACCGCCCTTGAAAGGAACTGCAAAAAAATAATTTTAAAATTCTTATAAGTATTTTTCACAATTTTTTCATGTGTGCCATTTTTGGCACTTTGCCAAAGATGCGGAGATTTCTCTAGGAATCTTATGTTGAATTAAATACAACAAGTTTATCTGTATAGCACTTAAAAATAAACCTAAGGGTTTGAATAAGTCGACATTATCACATATTGGATTTCAAAATTGTATAACTATAATTATATGTAAGATATAAAAAAATCAATTCCTCCACAAAAGCTATCAATCCAATATAAAATGGTATAAACGTCATTATAAAAAATGAAGTAAAATGTATACACATGTAAAATCGGAATGCACAAACAACTTTCATATAAGAAGATTCACTTTCAGCAGGAAATAAAACTCTTTTTGGTAGATATTGTTGCCATGGATGGTCGGGATTTTTTGTAAAGCCAAAGTCTTCTAAACAGCCTAGTGAAAAATCTTTCCTCACAAAAACATTTTTATTTTACTATTTGTGGTAATAAGAGGCATACATTTACAAATATAAATACCTTTCACTGTTTTATAAACAGTGTGCCACTTTAGGCGCGCTCAATAAACTAAAAAAAAAATAACTGCATCTTTGGTAATGTGCCATTTTTGGCACGCCCAAAAGTTTTCATTGTTCCCTGGTTCTTTGGCAGTGTGCCATTTTTGTCACACTCAAATTGTTTAGTTTATAAAAAAATCAATATTCATATTTAAACTAATTACTGACCTGGGTTATGTTTTCTCATCTTTAATCTGTGCAAATCACTTAGATATATAAGTAAACAGCCTAAAATATTGAAATAAGAAGTAATTTACTAACCTACTACACTAAGCCTCCATACTTCCTTTTCTATATGTTGGTCTAAAGTGATAGTAATTTCCAAAACATCCAATATAGTGCACTAAACCATAATAGCAATAGGCAAAGAACCTTTGGACGCCGTTTGTTGGAATTAAAAAGTTAACAGGCGAACGTGACATTTTTTTGAATCCTCATGTGCCAATAATGGCACGCTGTCAAATTAAGGGTTAAAAACCATGTAACATGATTGCTCTGCTCAACGGGCTTTCAATACTATGAATGCAATCCAAGTATATATATATAGATGGAAGATGGATCATACAAGGGAGTATTTTTAATCAATGGACCATCATATAAAGCAGCAGATCCAGGCATTTAATTTCTTTTAGTCTGGGGTAGTGGGTCCGCCAGCAGCCTGTTTTGCTTTTATTTGTTGTTTGACGGTTAGTCGTTAGTGGCGTTATGTTCTTTCAAGTTCAATTCAAAGATTCAAACGAAACGAAACGAAATAAATTTTGTTTGTGTAAACATGAACATGAAGTTTCAATTTGCGTTTACTTAATATCTACTTATTTATTACTTGTTTTGTTTTAGTCTGTGACCTAGTGTTGAAGAGGACATGCTTAATTAAAAACACAAATCTAATCATTTCCGCTAGTTGGACAGTTGTGACTCCGCACCTTATTATTCAGTGACTGGTACTGTTGCTTTGCTTTTATTTTGTGGTGTAGGAATCCAAGGTAAAGGGTTTAGTTTCTGAAGAATTATTGTAGAATATTCCTAAAGACTGGTTAAATTCTCTAATTTTGAGGTGGGCCTAATTTTGTTGTTTAGGTTAAATAAGTTTAGGGTTTAGTTAGTTAGGTTTGGCAGCCATAGGTTTGTTCTGTTGACATTTTGTTCAAGTTATTTCGTGCCTAGCTTTACGGAGCTTGTTAAGTATCTTTTTGTACAAAGTCTAATTGTATGACCAGACTGTAAGTTACTTTACGTTTAATTTTTATTCCAGGAAACCATTTACTGTAACTAATAGGCCTACTTAGTATGTTATCCTACAATCTAACTTATTTTAGGCTAGACTAGAAAGTAAGTTACATAACTAAAATTTGGATCAGCATAGAAATACTTGTTAGTGGTTCAGCATTGTTGAAGCCTAGCCTACCTTGGATCCCTCAGCCATAAATTAGACTTGAATATTAGTCTAGACTACAGTGAGCCCTAAGTTACTAACTTACTGTAGAAATGATAATGAGTTTTTATGACATGGCAACCCTCTAGGACTGCAGCAGCCTAAAGTAACTTAATGTGTAAAACAATTGGGCTAGAACCTTGCATCCTAGGATGTGAAGGTGGGACAAAAAAGAAATAGGCTAAATAGAAATAGGCTCCTTGATTTATTTTCTATTATGCATCCCATCAGAAACTGCTGAGTAGTAGGCCTAGGGCTGGATTTAGCATTTTGGTGGCCCTAGGCCAATAATATTTCGGTCCCCTAGTCTGGTTAAGAGTCCTTGGAGGCTAGCGGCCATTTTGGATGGTTCCAAACAGCTGCTGAAGGATTAAGTTAATCATTGTCCAAAAATATTTTTCAAACACCAGAAAAGATTATAATTTCTAACTTAGTTAACTGTGAGATTAATCTTCTTCCTAGTTTTGAATTGTTCTCCAAGGGAGTCCATGGAAGCTAACGGCCATTTTGGATTTGCCCGCCATTTGAGCAATGTTAATTTAGTTTATTTTCAAACAGCGGCTGTTCAAAAAGTTACTTACCATCTCAAAATTGTTTTTTTTTTTCAAATAGCTACCAGAGTGATTGTAATATAGCCTAAATATCTAGTACGGTACCTAGCTAAAACTGCAGGATTAGAAATTTTCTTTGTAAGTTGACCTACTTAGTTTTTTAATTGTTTTACGAGTTAGATCATCTAGTTTCCAAGGAACTCTTAAAGTTACTTGATCCTACACAAACCTTTATTAAAAATTATATCAGGCCTATTGCTGAATACAATTTTATCTTTATCGAGCTAGACATAAATCTTTAGAATTTGCAATGTGATGAGAGGTCTAGGTACTTCTGGTTGTCAATGGTGATACCTTAGTCTGGCTATAGTGATACTGCATCAAGATCAGCCGGGTTGTGTTGCTAGCCTTGTGGTTAGCATCTCAGACTTTGGTGCGGGAGGGACGGGTTCAATCTCCGGCACATCCACAAAACCAAAATGGGTTTGGACCGCTTTCCCTTAAAAGTGTTTGGAATGACTTCATAACAAAAATGCCACTGGCAATAAAATACGAGCAAAAAAAAAAGCGTATTTGCAAAAAAAAACAAAGCAAAATAGTTTGACAAATCATACTGATCCTCAGGCCTGAAAAGAAAATGCCAGAATTGAAATGACGCTTTGGAGAGTATTTGATCATTCCATTCTGAAACCGATTGCAAACTCAGATCAATATTTTATTTTGTTAAATCGAAGATGTAAGTTGAAAAAACTCATCGTTTTATGAACATTCAACACGACGTATATTTAAAGTTACTTTACCTTGATTCTGTAGATTGTTGTAACATAATCAAAACATTGGTTATAACTTTGAGGTGAGGGTATTAACAGTGTCTGGACAATAACATTGGCACATGCAATAGCACTTACTGCCAAGCCAGCATAGTGGCAGTGGTAGTAGTACGATTTGTAATGCGTGTCACTGCTCGACAACTAACATCCCTACAGCCTTCTCCCGTGTTTAAGCCTTCTTCAACCTTGAAGTTGATGCGTAGGCCTTGTGTCTAAAATTAGATTAACTTTAGGCCTACAACAGTTATTCAATTTTAAAATGTAACTGGTTTAATTTGGTTAAATTTTAAGCCAATTAACTTCAAAATTTTAACTCAATGTTCTATTAGCCAGAATTTTTGAAAATCAATTTGCAATATATATTTGGTTATGGCTACCTACTTATTTTTAATTCTAGATAATTAACCCTTGAGCGGGGCGCTTGTGGAGTTTTCCTCCGCAGTTGTAGTTTTTGTTAAAATATATATGCATATTGAGTGTCGGCAGTCATGTCCGGCTCCATATTTCACGCACCTCATCCTGGGAATCTCCCTGAGCTATTTTTACCCTCCAATTCCTCCTTATTGTGCTTGATAGTGTCGAAAGGGAAGAAAGAATAGAAGAAATACAACCAAAACAATATTTTGATTAGGGCATTAATAGAAAGAGGCCTACCTAGGCCTACTCATATTCAGTTGGGCAGAAAGAAATCTAGTTTTCAATTTCCATTTTATATGTAGGCCTACCGGTACATTAACTTAAATTAGGTATATTTTTTTGTCAATGTATAGTGTAGTAAAAAAACCAAACATCACGATTGATATTTTATTATTTATTTATTTATTTATATTTATAACACATACAATTTTTCAAACCGTGTGTATATTTTATACATATGAAAATATAAACATGTTTACATGTATTATTTAAATAATAATACTATCAAATATGTTGGTATGTATAATTGCATTAAGTTACTGTAATGCGGAACAAAACTCCGCACGTGCCCTCTCTCATAACACCGCAAGTGATACCTTTAAATAAGTTACTGTAGGAGCAAGTTACCTACTAGAAAATTGCTCAAAATATGTTGATTTGAAATAATACTCATATTTAGCTGAACAATCAATGTTATTAACCATGAACTTTGATTCCTAATTAAGTTATTCAACATTTAAATACAATATTGCGTTATAACAACAAGTAAAATGGGTTAAATTTGTGCTATTAGGTGTTGCGGAATAAAACTCTACATGCGCCCGCTCTTGTTTTACTGGTGAAGCGCCTGCTCTAAAGGCTTGATAAAATATTTGTCCCTTTGGCCATGCGCCCCCTGGTAGCTTGTGCCAATAGGCCCTGGGGGCCTCCCGGGCTTATTGGGAAATCCGGCCCTGTGCTGTAGGTTTACTTTTCTCTACCTACATAATTTTTTAAAATTGATTCTACGTATCAACAGACATAGCTTATTCCTTTTTTTACAAATTGGACATATAGCCTAGCCTAGAATATAGGCTAAAATAGGCCTATTAAAAAGGCAAAAATACATATCTTTCATTTCTTGTTGTGCTTGACAATACATGTAGGCCTACTTTCACAAATATTTAAAAGAGTAGGCCTGTTATTTTAATAATATAAGGTCAAGTGGGGTAAGTGTATACACCTGGGACAAGTTGACTTCCAGCTAATAATGAATTTGTTTAGTAACAAAAAAATAAAAATTAAAAACTTGGCAAAAGGTGTTTTAAACTATGTCCTCTTAAAATATAATCAATAAAAATTCTCTCACTACGATTTCTATGAGTTAGATGTGTTTAAAAACCGCAAGTGCCGCTCGAAAAAAAAAAAATAAAAACAAATTGAAATACAAGGATATAACTAAACTGAAATTCGGTGAGCTTACTTATTTTTTGAGAGGGAATTCAAAAATAACATTGTTATAGCCCTTTTAGCCTTCTCAATTTTAGGGAGTTACGGAGGGGGGGGGTACACTTACCCTATCTTACATGTTAAGGGCAAGTGTACCCCCTCAATAAATGATAAATGATCTAAGAATAAAGAAAACTTTGTCATCTCTTGCTTGAATGACAAGAAAAGACCTGCACCTTGTAAATTTTGTTTTTTTAAGGTTTAATGTCAATTACAATTTTGAATATTAAGGGTTTAAGTTACTTCACTGAGCAGAGGTTTACGGTACGAAAAAACTCCTAACTACTGTATATAGTTTAAAAGTACTGTATTAAAATAAAACAAAATAAAGCTCATTTTCTGCTCTTTGAGACTTTTATATCATTCTCAATTGTGGTTTTTGTTTTAGAACTGACTACAAGAGGTAAATCAGTAATGAAAAAATGTCAAACAAAAGGAAACCTGAGAACATAGCATTTTCAGTAAGTATACACTTATGCATAGGCCTATAGGCTATATTACTTGGGATGTAATAAAAACTCCACAATAATAAAAAAGATTAAACTTGAAAAGTTAACCTGTACAGAGATACTTACCACAAACTTGCTGTTAGGAGCAGTGCGGGCCTGCGGTGCGGGGGGGCCCGTGAGCCTTGACCGGGATTTTCGGTAAATTTTACGGGCACAGAGGCCCGTGACAGGCTCAGCCACACGGGTCTTCTACCATAACAATATTTATATGATAATTAAAATATGTTTATTATGATGAAAATTCGTTCAAACCTATAGTTCAAGTAGTTTACAACAGCTAAACTAACACGATTACTTGACCGATCGATATAAATTATCTACCAACCTAAGTAAAAGAATTGTCATCAGTCATGCGGGTTGCATTAACTGTCCTCGTGGATTGTGTGAAGGCGCAGTCAAAATTGGTTGCATAATAATAGGGCCGTATTTATAACCAATGTGGCCTCTGGTCTAGGAAGATAAATGTTAATTAATGTTAATCCTCCTATCCCCCAGCGGGTGACACCATAGAGGATCCTCTATGCTGATTCGACTAAATAAACTTGACAATTTTGCTACGGCCAAATCGGCAAATAAACCTAGATGGCTAGGGCACTAGCTAATAAATAATTACATTCTTTCATTGATGATAAAGAAGGATTTTCATTTCATTTCATGTCTTACTATTAGGAGGCTGCCCTTTGGATTTGTATACTTTGCACTTTAGATGTGTTTACATCGAGTCAGGTAAAAAATGTTACTTACCTAAGGGCCTCAGGCCAAATAAGATCGGTTTAAAATCGGGTTGCTTTAGAAACGGTTGTTTTTTAGGGAATGTTGCTGGAAGTCAACAGTCCCGGAAGATCAAATAATTTATACCTGTGCCGCTAGGTCAAAAACTACAATGTTTGCAGTGTCTGTAGATCAAAAGTCCCAGTAAGTCAAATAATACAGTCCGAGCTAAAAACTGACTTGACTGACTTGACTTATTGGGAATTTGACCTAATGCAACAACAGTTTTAATATAACGAAATACGGTAAAATACAAGTTCAGTTTCGCTGAGTCAACAGTGCCGGAATATCAAAAGCAATAAAAGTGAACGTCGATTCAGTGTAAAGTAGACCTCCTGCAACGCTTACTACACCAACAAAACTCGCTTTTAGTTACTTCGTGTTTTGTCATAATTAGAATAGAGCTAAAATTATCGTATTTGGTACATAGCTTATCTATTAATGCTTCTTGCCAACTGTTTGGTCAACACTGTAAATAGGTATAGCCTTTCTTCAAAATTTGTGGCATAAAATACCCGCAAGGACGATCTGAAAATTTTCTGGTTATTATATACGTTTGTAAAAGGAGATCCATTGAATTGTAGGACTATTTTATGAGTTATAATGTAGTCTACATATAAACTGTGTAAATGTATTACGCCTCGGAAGGGTTGAAACCTGTCCAAACTATCATATATACTATTAAAACGTAAATGGGGTTTTTTCACGATTCTGAATCAACCAGACGATGGATTTTCATTAGCTTTGTGTTGAAAGAAAGACAATTTTGAGAACTAGGGAATTTCAAAGCCATAATTTAATATTAGTGTCCCAGTTTTTTATAAATTAAGTTTTAGTTTTTAAAACGTCTAGCAGCCGATGCTAACCTTCTCCAATAAGTCAATGCTTCTAGCTAGCTTTTAGTACAATATAATGTGCTTAACATAACAGCTGTAACATTCAGCATTTGTGACACAAATTCAGCATTTGGAAGAAAATTCAAATACATACTTAGGCCTACTTATGGTTGGCTTATTTATACTATGTGTAATGCTGACCATTGATACATTTAATTCTTCGGTACGAGGATGGCAGATTAATTAAATATGCATAGTAAAATACAGTAGTAGGATGTTCAAATTATTTTTTAAAGTATTCTTTGTAATCATCGATTTGTCATAGTTTAATATCATTTGTTTTAACTAACAGCTGGTTGAATGTGCTATGTATACTTATAAAAAGCAAAGCCCTCACTGACACACTCACTCTCACTCACTCATCATCACTAATTCTCCCACTTCCCATTTACCTAGGAGGCTGAAATTCGATACACCGATTCTTTGTGCATTAAATAGGAAAACTAAGTAATTTTTATTATGATAAGGCATTCGAGCTTCGCCCCAGTGGCTCTGGAGTTTCCCATGTTAACCTTATGATTTTTCATATTTAAAAGGAATTAATGAATCTTAACAGCTGTGTCAATTAAACAATTTATGACAACAGCTAATTTGCAACCAAAAGCTGAGTGAGCGTTTCGAACGAACTTCAACCTGGAGGCGAGTTAACCCCAAGGCAAGTGAGCTCAGCGAACGAGCTCCAACCTAAAGGTGAGTGATCGTAGCGAACGAAATTCAACCAGGACGTGATTGAGCCATGCGAACGAGCTCATCTTGAAAATTAATTAGTTAAACGGGGCAAAGCCAGCGGGTACAGCTAGTTATTCTATGGAATTATTAGGTTTTTAGCGAATTAGGTTTTTTAGGTTATTAGGTTTTTAGGCGTTATACAGTATGGTTGAAAAGTCATGGATTGGCTATATTTTTTTAACAATATAGATAAAGTAGTGAGACTTGGTATATCAATAATAGCCATAAATATCTACTGTCTTAAGCTATTATCACTTTTTTTATCCCTTAGGGGATGGACCACAAAGACTAAGAGAAAATTCTTATAAAATTTTAATACTATTTTACCTGTTTTTGAAATGCCGACCATACAAATGTATGCATTTTAAGCCAAGTATGAATGGAGATGAGTGTGTGATGAGTGGAGCGATCTTGTTGTCCTGTTAGTGACGAAGGCCGACATAATCCTTAGACACAGCTGTTAATTAATAGTCCATACAGTCAATTAATATTAGCAGAGGTCAAGTTTGGTATCAAATTAAAGGTTTTATTTATAAAAATACATTGCCGCAAACCCAAACTCAAACGATGATGATGATAATAATGTAAATGATGTAGCTAAAACGTATCGTTTGAAATTTAACAGCTGAAAATAAGTGAAATAGAAAAGGTTTTGGTTAAATCCATAAAATTGTAATTGGACACTAGTAAGTACTAGTGCACTTGCTGCTACCTCCCCCCTTCGATATCATGTATTCCTCTCAATCAGTTCAAACCTAGGAGGATTAAACATTAATGTTAATTAATGTTAAATCCTCCTAGGTTCAAACCTGAAACACCCAAATCGAAACTCGCCTGTTGTTATTTTAACATCGCCTTATTTTTTTACTATATTTTTCAAAAAAGAAAGATTATATTGATTTACTTTGGATTTTAAAAATGTGAACGTTTTATTTTATTAAAGATTTATGGTGATAGGTACGTAAATATTGTGGTGTAGTAAAGTATATTATATTGTAGTTAAGTGTTAAATTTTGAAATTTTAGGGTGAATCGAGATGAATCATTGTTTATAACATGGGTCTCTCCTATCTTAACACACATACCAAGTTTCATAAACATCGGTTGGAAAAGTGTAAAGATAAATATTTGTATGTAAAAAATACAATACCCCCGCCGCAGCAAACCTGCCGACTAAGCGAATTTCCATTTGTCTTAATTGATTTTCAATTAAATATATTTTAATAACATTAGGTTTAACGAGTACCTAGGTTTGCTGCTACAAGGAAACTAATAAAGTGTGTTTTTTTGTAAAATATTGATAGCTCAATACAAAATAAATAAATTTGATCAAAATACAAAATATATCCATAAACAAGCAAACTACAACATTTTACAATATTCTCCATAAGAATAACATGGGAATTTTAAATTTAAAACTTTTTTTAATTTTCTCCCTTACTATTAACCGAACAAAAAAACATTTATATACTAAATTAATTGTTTTTTTACACTCTTTAAAAAGGTCTAAAGAGAAATTGGGAAATTTTGTGTTTTGAGGGTCAAAAGTGAGAAAACCCAATTTTTACCCCATAAAACCCCCCTTAAAGCCCCGTTCCCATGGTCCTATCATGCTGGTTTGCGAACTCATTCAAGTTTATCCCGCTTTACACCTTTAAACCAAATTTCATCAAAATCGGACAAAAATTACTCAAGTTATCGCGTTCACGGAGGTATATATATATATATATAAGTCTATATATATATATATATATTCATATATAAAAATTTGAACGAATGGTGTTTTTGGCCTCTGGGGACATCAAAATGAAAAAGTAAATCGGTTCCGGGTCTAGGTCTTACCGTGCCACCTACGGTAATAGCTACTTCACTATAAGGAAATTCGCTAAAATGGCGGATATCTGGTTAAAACAAAACGATTTTGGAAAAAATATTATTCTTGATTTTCTGTTTATTTTGACCCAAGGAATTACTAGGTAAAGTATCTCCCCGCTTATTTTAACACCCTGTTTATGATGTATTCTTATAAGTGAAAAATGTAAGCTGGTAATACAGAAAGATTTTTTATAAATAATATAAATGTACTGGTGATCTGTATATTCATCTTTTTCTTGTCCTTGGAACTGTAAATTAAAAGTCCACTCAGCAGTCGCATCGTACGATGTAGTTCTTTCCATGCGTTGCGAAATGCTAAATTTGCCGTCCTCTTCAACCCAAGTTATCTATTGAACCACAAATTCAAAAAAATACATTTTACGCATCACACTTTTGGCTACAGCTTTGCCACAGACAAAACCTCTCTAACCCAAAAACAAAAAAAAATCTCGCATGCTAACTTTTTCATGTTAGAAATCACGATTTAAAACCATTTCACCATACAAATCAATTTTTATTAATTAGATCGGTAAATAGTTTAAAGTTCCAACAAAATAGTAATCGAGTAGGACTAACCAAGAAGCTCTGTGCCAAATTTCAAAATTTTAGCACAACTTTAAGTACACCAAAACACGAAATTATTGAAGTCATGCGTCGAGAGGACTATCGTTGTTTTTAACAG